GAGCTTGAATGTGTGACCGTGGCTCTTGAAATAGGCCCCGAATTGGAAACTGGCGCCAAAGCCCGCACTGTTGCTGAATGTGCATCTGGACCAGTGTTCCATTTTCCCGAAAGTAATTCCTTTGCCCGCAACTCCAACTCCAAAATTCCCAACACATGCCTTGTCTTGCAAGGGCTTTGGGTCTTTTGTCTCGGTGTCGGGCGCATGATGGTTATCTCCGCTCTGTGTAGAACTCCAGTTCCACGTGGGATAAGAAGCCTACTGACGATAACTGAGAATTTAATGACGGACCGAAACATGCAGAGGATGCGCGTTTGCTGCCCATCGTATTATTTAAATGGATTGCATTGAAGGAATTTGCAACTTAACTTATTCGACATCTGAAGTTTTTTAGATTAAGGATTCGAGCAGCACTGTCTGTTGTTCAACATACGTATTGAAAAAAACCGCAAGGAGCAGGCCTCCTTTCAAAGTATTGAATTGCATCTTTTGATCTAACGCCTTTCAGTACTTCTATTTCCTATGATCTGCCGGTCGAAACCGCTGAACTTCTCCTATTAAGCAAACACAATGAAACGGACAATCGCCTTGAACTCCTCGATGACCACTAACTCTTGAGTTCCTGTCTGAGGAGGCACTTCACCAATGATGGAACAACATGCGGGCAGGTGAAAGGAATACCAACGAATTCGCTGATCTCACGGTTATGCAATGGTTATAACTGTCGTCCCTGTACGGGGTTAGGTGCTGGGTTCGGTATATAGATAATATTTTCGTCTTGAGCGAACCGGATCAAACGGTTACATTCTAAAAACGCATCGAAGACGTCTTTCTGGCCTTATAATTTAGAATGGTGGCGGGAGAAAATAAACAATAGGCAAGTCTTGATGTCCTTGACTTCCACATCAACTTTGGTATAACTGAGATTAACACTTTCAGGAAAATGACGGATCCGACGAAACTATTGAACTCCAACAACAGCAACCCAATCGGTCAGAAACGCTGTTATGCACAAGGGTTTTATTGGTTTGTTGATTTATACGGTGCAGGATCAGAAGAGGGATTCAGAGAAAATGGTTACCCACATAACTTCCCTAATGAGTACGTACGCAAGGAAGAAGAGAAGTCAGATCATAACGACTACACCATTTGTCAAGCGCTTTCGTAGGTCAATAACGTCTCAGGCGTCGTCAACCATACCACAGGGAAGGGGAAGCGTACAGAAACCGGAGGTAACCATCAGACGTCCGATTCCGAGACTAAAGACCCAATGCCATGGCAATAAATGTGTGGGGCTTGGATCTGTTGCAGTTTCCAGTAAAACAATAACTTTCGAGAAAATGGAAGATTCCTCCAGAGAAAATGCGCGAACAGCCGGCAGCAGTGTTGGTTTTGACGCCAGTTTCCAGTTCATTCGAAGAGCCACGGTCACACATTGAAGCTTACTACGGTTCCAATTCTGGTGAGAGCTGAAGGTCGCATGAAGCGTATGCTACTTGAATCATGGTTCACAGGCCCAAGAGCGCGGAGGAGTGCATGTGGCCAAATGACTTTCGGACAGCTAGGTGCCGAGCTTGTACTCGGTTCTCTTTGTGCACACATTATCGGTTTCCTCAACCTATAGCGGTCGCTCCTGCTGTTGCCAGCAAACGCTGACCCAGAGACTTTGGATAGTGTGGTGGGACCTTATAGATCATCCGAAAGGCTGCATGCACTCGTCCGCGCTCTGTTTGTCTCACTCTCCCTCTCCTAGACTGGCTGCACCAAACCCGGTTCCCTTAACCAGCCTTCTCTTATCGCCCCCTCCCCCCTATGCCCACGACTCACTTGTACGAAAAAACTAAACATGTTTTAACTTGTACCCCGTTCCTATATGAATGTACTGGTGCCACAGGAATTTATCGAAAGCATACGTACGCTTGCCAGGTACTCTTCCGAACCACCGCTAGTGCGGACTGTCTTATTTGAGACAAAGTCCGTATACATCACTCGAAGGATAGTCCTCAGACAGCGGTGGTCAAATACCTCCAGTCTTCTTTTCATCAACCCAGCATTCACATCCATAGAGGAGGACTGACCAGACGGATGCATGGTATACGTGAACCTCCATGGCAATATAAATATCACTTCGGGTCCAAGACTCCAAGAATTTTCTTAGCTGATCCATGGACGGATGTCTTTAGTACGGACCCCTTGCTGCTGTCGTCGCCGTCGGCTAGAGTCGTAAGACGGGACCGGATTTCGGTGCTTAGGGTCTCGGTAGTGTTATGTGGCCGGAGTTTTGCGACACTGGAGTCTTGCACGGGGTATTTTGGGTGCAGGCGTGTGCGAACATGAACATGGCCAGACCCGTGAGTGTTAGCGGTTTCAGCATCACGCATCGACCTGCTATCGTGGACATATGTAACTGCGAAACTTTGAAAAAACTAGAATGCAATCGATCTGGCTGACGTTATTGGCACTAATTTGAAAACCAGGTCAGTAGACGTTTATAAGGATGCTGGAAGCATGCATTAGTAACAAACAGTTGGTTCTGATCCGCAAAATGCAGCATCCTTTTACCATTGTGGGATCGAGAACCAAGCCCAAAACGACCAAGGAGGTGACTGTCTGACGAGTCACCGGTCCCAGTCCGGCCATTCCAGTCCCCGGCACCAATATACAGATCACGACAAGGGAGTGTTTTTACTAGGTTCTGTCGTTGCGAATAGACGTTCTCCTTATCTTGCTGTTTGGCAGCTGATATTAATGCATACACAGAGATAACAGAAATGTTCATACAGTGGCCCTTTATTCGAACGCAAGTCATCCCGTCGTTGACCGTTTTCCAGGTCAGTAATGCACGGTTTACTTGTTCCGACAGAGCAATAGCCACATCGTGCCTACCAGATGAGTCGTGTGAGTCACTGAGATACAGGGTGAGGTAGGAATCGGCTCTCGGGCGCCTGAATAGGGGCTCCGGACTTCAGACAGGCAGAGGACATCCACGTGGCATGGATGGTGATTGCTTGCGGTCAGACTTTGAGTACAAGGTTCCATAAGTGTTCACGCATTCCAGCATCCAATAGCAAGAGTCCAATCCCAGTTGAGTGGTCTAGCCTTCATACTAATTGCTCGCACCGCTAGGCAGGGGTTGCGGAGCACGTCGGTTCCAGCGGACGCCGTAGCTTGGCTAGTATTACCGTAAGTAGATATTTTGCATGAGGAATCTTGGGGATTTTGAATACAGGTGGGTCGCAAAGAGCCGCTCGGATTCTTTGTTCGAGGCTGTCTCCTCTAGCTCATTGGCTCAAGAACCTAACCACAAGGCGGCAGTGGCAAGAAAACGTAGTTAATGGAGGTTTACGCTCGCCATATCGCAGTGCCATCATTGGGACCTGCGGCATTGTATAAGGCAACCGGTGCGCCCAACATTAACCCTCCGCACTCTGGTAATACTGTCTTTGCTGCCGCCGTTCCACCATCCGCCGCCTGTGGACAAACCAGGTAGCCAGCAGCTAGGCTAACGGGACTGTCCCAATGAGAACGTATTAAATTCGTGCGCATCCTTTGTGCTCTTTTTCCGACTAAACCATGTCAGCATGAATAAATACTCCGCGGAGTGTAGGAAGTAGGCCCATGTTAATGGTATTCTGTCCAATCCTCGTGTAGTTATACAGAAATCCTTTGGCGCTTATATAACATCTAACTGGTAAAGAATAGTGTTATCGAAAGCATTGTCTAATGAACCGATTTCGAACACTTTTTGACATCTGAGAGCTGTTTATTCTGATCAGCGCATAATTGATAGGGGTGACATTGTGCAGCCGCATCTACAGGCGAACGTAGCTGTCAGAAATCAATTACATTTATTTTCGTTTAATTTTGCTTCTCCGGCCTCCAATAGGCTTCATTTAAATGTTCAGCTTAACGCTGAACCCAACTTATCTCCAAGTCGCAGGCGCATTCCAGTTAAATGCCACTTGCGATCAGATGAGTCCCTAGAGGATACAAAGGAAGTTCATGCATCCAAACCCTATAGCGTGTTGGTAGTGTACAATCCTCAGAAATCCGTGATTCGTGTGCAAAAAATGTAGATCTTAATTAGGCTTCAACCTTTTAATTCAACCCTGCATAGGCAGATAGCATTTATTGAAAAAAAATACTGTAAGGTAACGATGCAAAACTCGTCGACAACCATAGATTGCCCTTAGTTACTTTCAATAGTCAGTGCAGTGCAATCTCCCTGGAGAACAATGAAATAAGAATCTGCAAAAGTAATTTTAGTTTTGCGTTTCTAAGTCTGGAAACGTAACATTTGACGCATGCAGTTTTTTGCCTCATGGTAACAGTATATACTAAGGATTAACAAGTGACCGTAATTCAAGTAGGAAATTTTCCTGGGAGGAGGAAGTTATAGGCTATGTTTGCGTCGAAATGTCTTGACTGTACCAGACTAAGAGCAAACGAGAAAATACGTAAACCACAGGCAATGCAAAACACTATGAATTGCCCGACTTGAAACGCTGTTTCCTCCGAAGCTGCAAACCAAGCCCGAAAAACCATTAAAAACGTTGATTTAAAAACGCACCTCGAGCGTACACACCTAATCAGTACTTGAACTTTAATGAACACTATACGTCGCCACCCCTGCTTCAAACCCCGCTAACTGAAGACTTCCTGGAGATACGGTTAACTTAACGTTCTGAGTAGTCTCTTCTCGGCTGTTCCGTTAATCCCTTTTTGTTTTTCTTCATTCAGGCTCAACATTAAGATTTACGGCACAAGTTCAATCTTGAGACGGATTTTGAATTGCAGGCCTCTGTGTGTTACGAAGACGACTGGTTGAACAATATAACCATTTATTTATCTGTCTGAGTGTATGAACTCGTGCAGGAGTCTACCGTAAGAAAATAAAACCAGCAACTACAAAGGTGACAGTTATGGGAGGGTGGTGGCGAATCAAAAATCTGGTAGTATAGGCAGGTAGTTTTGCCGGCAAAGACAAGAGAGACTGGAAGGGCTGCTTCTGGTTTATTAGCCGTCGTCAGCCAGTCATCCTCAGACCCAAGTGATGTCCCACCGCGCGTCAAACTGGCGACCTTTTTGATCAGAGTCAAACAACCTAACCATTAAGCCACGAGCCCATGTTCTTGCCAGATATTGACACTCGCTGATGAACGACCCGACCTAAATCGGCAAGAAAATGAGCTGCCATTTCAATGGTTAAAGCGTTTGACTCTAAACAAATGGTCTCGAGTTCGACGCTCGGGTGGGACACCACTTAGGTCTGAGTAGGACTTGCTGACGACGGCAATAAAACAGAAACGGCTATTCCAGGCCCCCTTGTCTTGTCCTGTAATACTATCCGCCTACTACTATCTGTTACAGCTGGCGGGGCCACCATCGAGGCCTCAGGGAGAGCTGGACAGATGAATTTCGTTAGCGGTCGGGCAAAAGTTCATTAACGAGCCTTAATGTTCCCTGATCTAAACCGACAAGACAACGAGCTCGTGTCACAATGGTTTGGCGTGGCGTTTGACTCTGATCAAAAATGTCGCCAGTTCGAGCCCGGGTGGGACACTACTCGGGTCCAGGTATGACTGGCTGACGACGGCTAATAAACCAGAAATGGTCCTTCCAGTCTCCCTTGTCCTTGCCAGCAATATTATCTGCCTATATTACCAGCTGGGACGGCTTATTGCAGGGAGTTAAGTGAGTTAAACTCAGCAACTGAGATCTTCAGACCATGGTTACTTAGTGGAGAAGAAGTCGGTAAAGGCCAAAGTAGGAGGAAGAATTTATTGTATACACAGGACAGAGAATAGATTAAAGAAGTCCGACTTGGGAAAACACAACCATCCAGAAGATTTACCGGGTCCCAAGTGCAAGTTTGAGAGCAGTCAGGCCAGTAGACAGAGTGAGAGAGCGTTGATTGGCCAGATCGACCTGTGATTGGTTGGACACCGTGGGGGTGGACAGCGTGTGGGTGGCCCATGTCCCGTGCGCCAGTAACTCTGGCGACCGCAACGACCTTGATGTCTAGACAGATTGAGGTCACGACAGAAAGGGCAGGCATCGAGCGGGCAACGACCCACTACAGGCTGTCAGGGCTTTTGTCGAGGTCCAAGGCAGAGCGGGACAGATGAGTTCCTTTAGCGGTCGGTCGAACCTTCATCAACGAGAATCAACGATCTGTCACGTCGGCGTGATGGTTGTGCAGAGTCCTGTGCGCCGACGCCAAGCCGGTGAGTTTTCGTCCTAAGTCCAAGCTGCAAGTAATTCTCGGGTTGTCCTGGTAACGGCATGCGCATGACCATGACTGTGTTATCATCACCTATGATTAAGGATTCCC